AGGGAAAGCAGGCTTAAAGACCTTGAAAATGTAGTTGTCCTGATACCAATTCCACAGTTATTTAACAACCGGAAAATAAGAAACAACAGCCCAAGACAGATTAATTTCGATAATATGAGTGCCAAAAGTAAAACCTGTCACCTTCAGGGTCTATGAAATAAGATTATAGAACTTGTTTAGGACTGCTAGAAAGAACAGTAATAGTATCAGGTTACAGGATCCTTGACTGAAGTAGATACTTTGCCTTTCCCAAGTAGTTACTTGCATCCATAGTAATTCTACTAAGCTAGTTTTACCCTGTAAGTGAGTAGAATTTGAACAACATACAAACCAAATTGTTTTGCTTTGGATAAAAAGTGAACGATATAGGGAATTCTATTATCTCTGTTGAATATTGGTGTATACCTTGTGAAAGGTAAAAACAAAAAAAGTAAAAGACAATGTCGAGGGAGTAGATGTTGACCCCATTTCATAAGCAGAGAAAACTTTTTTTCCCCTGTAAGTTGTACTTGTAATCAGAAAATACAGCATTGCTCTCTGCCACTTGGCTTACCGTTGCATCGGTGAGTGTGGTGGACGGGGAGCTCAAGCTAGTTTGAATAAAGACTCTTTGCTTTTAAAAAAACACACAAGAAAATACAGCATTAATAAAAAAGTGATTTATGAAGAAAAAAAACTGTCACTAGTCCTTTGCCAATGTAATCTATCACCAGTCCAATACAAAACTAGTTATCTATGTGACCATATTGGAAATAGGGTAATTAATTAAAATGAGGTGTTACTGGGAATCCAGTAAAACTGGTATTCTTATAAAAAGGGGAAACCTGGACACAGACAGGCAGAACACCGTGTGACTATGAAGGCAAACAGAAACCTAGGTGATGTCCACAAGCCAAGGAAAGCCAGAGATGCCAGCAAACCACCAGAAGCTAGGAGAGGCATGGTACAGATTCTCCTCACAGTCCACAAAAGGAGCCAACCCTGCTGATACCTTGATCTCAGAGTTCTAGTCTCCAGAACTGTGAGACAATAAATGTCTGTTGTTTAAGCCATCCAGTCATGGTACTTTATTACAGCAGCCCTAGCAAACTAATGCAGGGGGTTGTGATTTGAGCTACACTGGACTGCCTGAAAAATTAAAGAGTTGTATGTAAAGGTGGTAGGGGATGTCTAGTAAACAACATTTTAGTCATAATAGCTGCCACTGTGATCACCACTGCACAGCATATCTACACAGGCCTCTCTATTATGATTAAACAGTGACAGGGCTGGGGCAGCCTCTCCTTTTACTAATGACTAAGAAGCTGAGAGGAACAAGAGGGACCTTTCTCTATTCACTTTTGTGTGTTTGCTCAGGCTTTCTGCTCAAACTTGTTGCCTGACTACTCACCTTTAAGACTCAACCTAGGCTAACTCCTCAACACTTCTAAGATGAATTTGTTATATAGATTCACAGAGAAAGAGACACCTCTCTGCATATCTTCATCATTACCCTCACCACATCCTATCTAATAAAAGAGAAACATCGTAATTAGCGTACGACCGCTACCCTTCCCATTGGCTAATCAGGGTGATATGCAAATTAACTGCCAGCCAAGATGGCGGCCGGCAGCCAGGCAACTTAAACTGAACATGAGGCTTGCTTGCTTCAATGACGGAGGACTCCAACGTTCCCCACCTGCCTTGCCGGCCTCTGAGCTTGCAGTTTAAGAAACATTGTAACACATAGAGCAGCTAAACAAAACC